TTGTTACAAAATTGTGCTAACAAGCTTGTTACAGCCATGATACAACAAAGATGTTACAAGGTTGTCAACACAAGGTTGTAACAATCTTGTTATATCAAGCATGTCACAGACTTGTCAGAACAACCTTGCAACAAGTCTGATAATTTCGACAAGGTTGTTACAAGTTGTCAACAAGTTGTTCCAAACCTGTTGACAAGTTGTGACAAGCAGTGCGAATACATCTTGTTAACAGCTCGTGAACAGACTTGTAACAAACTTGTACGTGTGTAGGTAGTGCCAATAAAATGAACAAGCTTTCGTTGATATAGGGATGCATGCAACTACCTGAAAATATCAGTATAAGGGGAATACCTACCAACGAAAGTCTCGAAAGCTTATACTTGTATCCGCCTTTCCCATACACGAGACTGATCAGGGATGGATATGAAGGGGGTGCTCTGCCAGCTCTGGTGCCGACTGGTCTTGCTTGACTATCTCATTTTTTCTCCAATAATTTTTTGCTTTATCATGAAAAGTAGCCCCCTGCACCCCCTTTGGCCAGGGCGTGCACCCCCTCCCCCCGCCCCCCAGTAAATCCATCCCTGAGATTGGTGCTTGATTACTGATATAAACCCTCTTATTACCCTCCCCCCCCCCACCTTATATAACCCACTCTCCAGGAAACTCCGATCAACTTTGAGAAAAAGAATTCTCCAAAAAAATACCTGAAAAAACCCATAAAAATATAGGCCATATAGCGCCTCCCTCCTCCCGTAGGGGCTTTACTCATAGCTTCAACCTGACACCTAGGGTCGTCACTTTCGCTACCCATAACTATGGACATAAAAAGGTTCAAATGGTTATAATTTATTGTATATCATGGGTTTAAGATTTTTTTACTTTTCCTGTTTTTTTTTGTGTTTGACTTTTTAAAATTATTGGGTAGTTTCCATTTTTCTACAAGGATTTTAGATACATTTATGATATCTTATCTTGTATCTAGTCATGCCAGCAGTTTTTCAACAAAGAAAAATTGATTGTGTATACGGCCGTCAAAAAAATGATTTGACAAGTAATAAATAAGAATGCATTAATAAGGGACAAACTAATAGTGATAGCCTATTTCAAATGAGTTTCAAAAACTCAATACTTCATGGGGAAAAGACAAAGGAACTCACTACCGTATTTTGGTGGTTTTATATGCACGTGATAAAAAATCATGTTCATTTACATAAACTTTAGCTTTGATTTTCTCGGGTTAGACAACGTTTATTTTTAAAATTACTTTGCCAATGACAATGTACTCGTCGTTTTTTTAAGCATTCGAGCCGCGCTCTCGTGTTTTATGTCTGATAAAATACTCCTGCTCGTTATTTAAACAGTACTTCAAACATTCATTAATATAAAGTTTGTTCGTTCATTGCAACCAGGTATATCAATCATGTTTCGCTCGCTACTCTGGTTTAAATAAATGATTACAAAGCCCAGTCGAATTGTAATCAAGACCCAACGTTTCCAGTCTAGTGTCTTCATCAGGGGTGCTCTAAAACTGCGATCGTGGCTTCTTAAATACCCAAGGGATGACATCATGCACCTGCCAAGAAGATGTATATATTCCTCTGGCAAATAGGCGCCGTCATCCCTATTCAAAGCATGATGACTCATATTTATATGCCACGCTTCTAGGCAAAGTCTTTGACCATATAGCGATTGTTTGTGGTAATTACTTTAGAGTTTTCCCACGCAATCTCGTGTTTAGTGTAACATACATGTTCGGCTAAAGCCGATTTTCCCTTGTCTAAAGTTGAAACAGTATTTTGATGTTCTTTTAGCCGTGTACCAAACTGGCGTTTAGACTGACCCAAATACTCTTTGTCGCAGTCACCGCGTGCATGGTATAGAATATATAGCACGAGTCTTCTGATTTTTTTCAACAGGATCTTTTGGCTTTGCGAAAATATGGCCTAAAGTCAAATAGGGTTTTAAGGCAACCTTAATATTACAATTACTTAAGATTCTCTTGATTGGTTCTGTGACACCTTGAATGTATGAAACTATTGCAAAACCCTTAACAGAGGTATCACCATCGTTGCCGTCAAACAGTGATTCTCAAGCTAATGAACGTGACTATGTTCTAAATGTTTTAGGGGAAAACAATTACCCAAAGCGCGTTTTCTTAATGATTGCCTGAGACCACCTGTTTGTAGGAACCAAAATAACTCCGAGGGTGATTCAAGGTGTCACAGAGCCAATCAAGAGAATCTTAAGTAATTGTAATATTAAGGTTGCCTTAAAACCCTATTTGACTTTAGGCCATATTTTCGCAAAGCCAAAAGATCCTGTTGAAAAAAATCGGAAGACTCATGCTATATATTCTATACATGCGATTGGGTCAGTCTAAACGCCAGTTTGGCACACGGCTAAAAGAACATCAAAAGGCTGTTTCAACTTTAGACAAGGGAAAATCAGCTTCAGCCGAACATGTATGTTACACCAAACACGAGATTGCGTGGGAAAATTCTAAAGTAATTACCACAAACAATCGCTATGGTCAAAGACTTTGCCTAGAAGCGTGGCATATAAATATGAGTCATCATGCTTTGAATAGGGATGACGGCGCCTATTTGCCAGAGGAATATATGCATCTTCTTGGCAGGTGATGTCATCCCTTGGGTATTTAAGAAGCCACGATCGCAGTTTTAGATCCGCACCCCTGATGAAGACACTAGACTGGAGTGTCGAAACGTTGGGTCTTGATTACAATTCGACTGGGCTTTGTAATCATTTATTTAAACCAGAGTAGTGAGCGAAACATCATTTATTAATAATTCATAAGTTTATTGGCAAATCATGTCAACTATAATATGTCACGTGAAGAGGTTTTATACCTGATAAAATTAGTATTCTTTGTATAATATTATACCTCAAATTCAAATTGTCCAATGAAAAAACAGCATTTGTACCACGTGATAATGTGATTTTTTACGTTATTTCACTCAAATTCAATGCAGCGTGAGATACTATAATATCCCACGGCAGATCCACCGAGGGATATTATAGTGTCCCACGCTCACGCGTGGACACCACGCTCTGAAACAATATGGCGTTCGCGAGCTGTTGTTTGTAATTTCGTACAGAAGATTTGATTTAACCAAAGATTTTCAAGACGTATGTTACCTTTAAGGATCCAAAGGATACATGCTCAAATATTTTAAAGAAGAAACGTCAAAAACTCAGGTATACATAAGAAATTAAAAATTGTATTCGCGTAGTTAATAATCAGCAAATCAGTTTATTAAAGTTTATTCTGAACTTAGTGAGTTCTTTAACTTTCGGTATAATATATCATTTAATTATAGACCCTCCGCTCGGGGGATTCGGCAGTGATATTTTCCTCGGGGCAAAGCCCCTCGGAAGATATCATCACTTGACTTCGGGAAATATTACGCCGAATCCCCCGAGCGGAGGGTCTATAAATGATAAAAAGTCCATTCTGGTTCTGGTTAGTATTCTTTATATAAAGAATACTATAATGAGACGGCATCTATTGCAGTCGTGTTTGAAGCTATTCAAAACACTTGCATGTAGTCGTGTTTTATCATATCTAAAATGCTCGTGCTTGCACATTCGCATTTTAAATATGGTAAAACACTCCTACGCGTGTTTTAATAAACAGTACTTCAAAAATTCTCAAAACACCGTAACTATATTTTGCAACTAAACAACTAGAGTCATAATTGCTTTGTCTTGCATAGCCATGACTAGTAAGTAAAATTGTTATATAGCTAGGGTGAACACCAAACTTGATTGGCTGATTTGTGGTCACGTGACTTCAGATAAATGCAATGTATCCCGTCGGGCAACAAGCCAGACCGGCTACTACATAAATAAACAAAATGGCAGCACAACTATCATAATTAGAAACTACGATTTTCCAAGTTTGTGTTCAAATAAAGAATGTAAAAGAGAAGAAAAATACACAACAGGAAGTACAATTAAGTACAATTGTTGTATGAATGTTGTTGGATGTTGTTGTTTTCCCTCGAATCTCAATGTTTCCCTCGATCGACTTCGTCTCGGGGAAACATTGGGACTCTAGCTCGGGGAAACAAAACAAACTATTTCACTCGGGAGCAGACATTAAGTGTATAATAAATCACTAAATGAAGAGAACGAAGAACTTATTGGACGAGGGAAATTTGCGAGGAAAAAAGTGAAAAACATTATTCAGAAACCAAAAAAATCGTTAACGATATTTATAAAATTAATTCTAAGATTAGCGAGCTTTGTATTACTGCAGAAAATTAACTAAAATGTCTTTCGTCTCCAATCTCATTTAGACCACAATGTTTATACATTAACAATGTTTATACAATGTTTATACACTGGCCTCTGCAGCTCAGTTGGTTAGGGACGGGTCATTATTTATGCTGGGGGGTGGCACCGAAGAGAAATGTTTTTCGTGCCAAAAATTTTGCTGACCCAACAATTAAAATATCAAAAATTTGATTACCCAACCTCAAATTTCATTTAAAAAATAAATACCCACCCCTGGCCAAAAACGAAAAGGATGTCATTCAGCTGTCACATTTGTCCTTTACCACTTCTGTAATACGAGTTTGATAACGTTCGGCTTGTGAAATTTACTGACTTTTCTGCAGTCTAAAGCTTCATGTTGTCTGCACATTTACTTTCTTTGGAGACACCATTTGTCTCCCAACAAATCGGAAAATCATCAAGATAGTGACTCTGATTGTTTGATTGACATATTGTATTGACATATGACTGTTGACATTGCAGTTTTCAGTCTTCGATATTTGAGTGAGTCATGCTTTGGAAATGACAATAAATTTTTATTACCCAACCTTTGAGTTGTTTCGTTTTTCATTTACCCAACCTTTTACTCACTCAAAATTTTGTTTACCCAACCGTTTTCTCTTCGGTGCCACCCCCCCGCCATAAATAATGACCGGTCCCTTAGAGAGTGCAACACCGGAATCACAAGTTAGATTCCTGCCATGCAGGTGATCTTGATACGCGGAAAAGTACTGGCACTAGTTGTCAAATAGAAATCCATTTTGTGATTAAAACAACTGAATATCTCCTGTAATATACTTTATTTCGATTCCATATTTTTGTCAGAGCTATAGTTCTCATAACCAAACATAATTACAAAATTTCAACTAATTTCACAAAGAATAACGAAAGATATAATTGAATGATTACATCAAAATGGATTTCTATTTGGACAACCCTTTCTGAGCGCTGATTGGCTAAAATACGAACACGAGATCACCTGGATGCAGAAGGCCTATCGTTGCAGCCGCTCCAGGCCAGGTCTAAAATTGTATATAACTTCCGCTCAAAACTTCCATACATGACAAAATTACTGCAATCTGATTGGTTACGAGGAGTGCAATTATTTCATTCATTGCACTCTTCAGGAGTACAATTACTCTTCAGGAGTGCAATTAAATGATTTTCGTGATGGCTGGGGGGGGGGGGGGGGGGGGGGAAAAAAAA